ATAAGTAGATTCAAATACTCTATAAGTTTCAGAACTTTCAACAAATAATTATTATACTCATACTAAAAACTAATTCCCAATGAAAAAAATGTATATATAAGTAAGATTCAAATACTCTATAAGGTTTAAACCTTTCAACAAATAATCATCATACTCATGCTAAAACCAATTTTTGATGAAAAAAAAAAATACATATATAAGTAAGAATCAAATATTCTATAAGGTTCAGACATTTTAATGAATAATCATACCCACACTAAAAACTAAATCCTGATAAAAAAAAAATACATATATAAGTAAGATTCAAATACTCTATAAGTTTTAAAACTTTCAACGAGTAATTATTATACTCACACTAAAAACTAAATCCCGATAAAAAAAAAAAAAGTAAGATTCGAATACTCTATAAGTTTCAGAACTTTCAACGAATAATAATCATACTCACACTAAAAACTAAATCCCGATGAAAAAAAAATACATATATAAGTAAGATTCAGATATTCTATAAGGTTCAGATATTTCAATGAATAATCATACTCACACTAAAAACTAAATTTGATGAAAAAAAAATACATATATAAGTAAGATTCAAATACTCTATAAGTTTCAGAAATTTCAATTAATAACCATTATACTCGCAATAAAACTTAAATCTGATAAAAAAATATATAAGATTCAGATATTCTATTAAGGTTCAAAACTTTCAATTAATAATTATTATACTCGCGATAAAACCAATTCCTGATGAAAAAAAAAATACATATATAAGTAAGGTTCAAATATTTTATAAGTTTCAAAACTTTTAATTAATAACTATTATACTTGCGATAAAACTTAAATTTGATGAAAAAATATATATAAGATTCAGATATTCTATTAAGGTTCAAAACTTTCAATTAATAATCATTATACTTGCGATAAAACTAATTCCCGATAAAAAAATATATATATATATAAGTAAGGTTCAAATATTCTATAAGGTTCAGACATTTTAACAAATAATTATTACATTCACGCTAAAAACTAAATCCTGATGAAAAAAAAAGTAAGATTCAAATATTCTATAAGTTTCAAAACTTTCAACGAATAACTATCATACTCATGCTAAATTCAATTCCCAATAAAAAAAATACACATATAAGTAAGATTCAAATACTCTATAAGGTTCAGAACTTTTAACAAATAATTATACTCATGCTAAAAACTAATTCCTGATAAAAAAAAAAATACATATAATTAAGATTCAAATATTCTATAAGGTTTAGACCTTTCAACAAATAATTATTATACTCATACTAAAACTAATTCCTGATAAAAAAAATATATATATAAGTAAGATTCAAATACTCTATAAGGTTCAAACCTTTCAACGAATAATTATACACTAAAACCAATTCTCAATAAAAAAAAAGACATATATAAGTAAGATTCGGTTATTCTATAAGTTACAAAACTTTCAATGAATAATTATCATACTCATGCTAAAAACTAAATCCTGATAAAAAAAAAATACATATATAAGTAAGATTCAGATATTTTATAAGGTTCAGACCTTTTAACGAATAATCATCATACTTATGCTAAAAACTAATTTTTTATAAAAAAAAAAATACATATATAAGTAAGATTCAAATACTCTATAAGGTTCGGACCTTTCAACGAATAATCATCATACTCATGTTAAAACCAATTCCCGATGAAAATAATATATATATATAAGTAAAATTCAAATATTCTATAAGGATCAGACATTTTAACGAATAATCATACTTACGCTAAAACCCAATTCCCAATAAAAAAAAAAAATACATATATAAGTAAGATTCAAAATATTCTATAAGTTTTAAAACTTTCAACAAATAATCATTATACTCACACTAAAAACTAAATTCTGATGAAAAAAAAAATACATATATAAATAAGATTTAAATACTCTATAAGGTTCAGACCTTTCAACGAATAATTATTATACTCACGCTAAAACCAATTCCCAATGAAAAAAAAATACATATATAAGTAAGAATCAAATATTCTATAAGGTTCAGACATTTCAACGAATAATCATACTCACACTAAAAACTAAATCTTGATAAAAAAAAAAATACATATATAAGTAAGATTTAGATATTCTATGAGTTTCGAAACTTTTAATGAAAAATTATTATATCAGTAATCATTAGTTCTATGGTATAGGCACCTGTCATTTAGAAATAGTTCTCATATGCTATTTGTCGACAGGCTTAGAGTTTATCACTTACCATTTATATTAGTTAGCTAGTATCATTTGTACACATGAATTAATTACTAAAATAAATACCTGGCAAGATACGCCAAAGTTATAAAAAAAAAAAAAAAAAAAATCATTATACTCACGCTAAAAACTAATTCCCAATAAAAAAAAAAATACATTTATAAGTAAGATTCAAATATTCTATAAGGTTCAAAACTTTCAATAAATAATTATTACACTCACGCTAAAAACTAATTCCTGATGAAAAAAAATACATATAAGTAAGATTCAGATATTCTATAAGTTTCAAAACTTTCAACGAATAACTATCATACTCATACTAAATTCAATTCCTGATGAAAAAAATACACATATAAGTAAAATTCAAATATTCTATAAGGTTTAGAACTTTCAACAAATGATCATACTCATGCTAAAAACCAATTCTCAATGGAAAAAAAAATACATATAAGTAAGATTCAAATACTCTATAAGGTTCAGAACTTTCAACAAATAATTATCATACTCACGCTAAATTCAATTCCTGATAAAAAAAATATACATATAAGTAAGATTCAAATACTCTATAAGGTTCAGACCTTTCAACAAATAATCATACTCATGCTAAAAACTAAATCCTAATAAAAAAAAAATACATATATAAGTAAGATTCAAATATTCTATAGGTTTCAAACTTTCAACGAATAACTATCATACTCATGCTAAATTCAATTCCCGATAAAAAAAATACACATATATAAGTAAGATTCAAATACTCTATAAGGTTCAGAACTTTCAACATATGATCATACTCATGCTAAAAACTAATTCCAGATAAAAAATATATATATATAAGTAAGATTCAGATATTCTATAAGTTTTAAAACTTTCAACGAATAACTATTATACTTATGCTAAAAACTAAATCTGATGAAAAAAATATATATATATAAGTAAGATTCAAATACTTTATAAGTTTCAGAAATTTCAATTAATAACCATTATACTCGCGATAAAACTTAAATCTGATAAAAAAATATATATAAGATTCAGATATTCTATTAAGGTTCAAAACTTTCAATTAATAACCATTATACTCGCGATAAAACCAATTCCTGATAAAAAATATATATAAGATTCAGATATTCTATAAGGTTCAGAATTCTAATTAATAATTATTATACTTATGATAAAACTAGTGCTCCGCAAACTCAAATTAAAATTTGAATCCCAAATCAGGCAAGGTGTGTTGTGTGGTTCATGGCATGTTGTATGGTGTAGTACACGGTGGGATAGATAGTGTGGTGCATGGTGGGATGGGTGGTGTGGTGCAGGGTGGTGGTGCGATGTATATGTCTGGTGTAATACACAGTGTAGTTCGTGGGTGTTGTATAGTATGGTGCGTGGTGGGATGGATGATGTAGTGCATGGTGGGATGGGTGGTGTGGTGCACAGTGGTGGTGCGATGTATATATCTGGTGTAATGCGCAGTGTAGTTCGTAGCATGTTGTATGGTGTGGTGTGTGGTGGGATGGATTGTGTAGTGCACAGTGAGATGGGTGGTGTGATGCAGGGTGGTGGTGCGATGTATATGTCTGGTGTGATGCACAGTGTGGTTCGCAGCGTGTTGTATGGTGTGGTGTGCGGTGGGATAGATGATGTAGTGCACAGTGGGATGAGTGATGTGGTGCATGGTGGTGGTGCGATGTATATGTCTGGTGTGATGTGCAGTGTGGTTCACGGTGTGTTGTATAGTGTAGTGCATGGTGGAATGGATGATGTGGTGATGGTGAGATGAGTAGTGTGGTGCATGGTGGTTGTGTGATGTATATGTCTGGTGTGATACGCAGTGTAGTTCGCAGCGTGTTGTATAGTGTGGTGCACAGTGTGTATGGTGTGATGTGTGGTGGGATGGGTGGTGTAGTGCGCGGCGTGATGTGTGGTGTGGTGTACAGTGTGGAGCGCAGTGCAGTTACTATAGTTAATAGATGTATAAATTATTTTGCTAAACCAAATTATTTAGAGATTATAAAACGATCGAAAATTTTAATTTTTTAAGCTAAATGATTTGATAATTAACCTTGCATGTTATCTGCTCAACAAAGCGGGCAAATACCAAAATCATTGATATATTTTGTGATACAATCCTTATGAAAAAAATGTTTATAGGTTAAAATAGTTATTGATTCTTTAAAACTAGAGCAAACATTTTTCTGACAAATTATATATAAGTTTGGCTATTCATTTGTATTTATAGTTTTTTTATAAGAAATTATATTATTCAAAAAATTGACTAAAGATTTCATTTTGAAAAAAAAACAAAAAAAAAGAACCTATTTATACCATATTATATAATAGCATATAGCTTATCTAAAAGTTTATACAGTAAAGAGGGTGCTATAAAGCAGGGACAGTAAATACTTCCATTCCGATATAGATTAACCAATCAAAACTTGTATCTATTTCCAGATACAAATTTTGATTGGTTAATCTATATCAAAATGAAAGTATTTACTGTCCCTGCTATGAAGAGAGTATTGATCTAATAACAAGATAATTGATTTAGATTATAAACATCATATAGTAATTATTTATCTGGCTAATTCATAATCAGACTTTTTAAGAACTGGGCTAGACTTCTAGCATTTCTAAGTAATGATATATGCAAAGCGATTAATATGTATGTACATCAAACAGCATATACAATAACTTGATTATTAATTGATATCTGTGGAATGCACTATATCCACAGATATCAATTAAATAACAAGAAATAACTGCTTATTAAAAATAGCAATAAGGATACGCGCGAAGTGATTAATATATATACAACTGCAAATTTTAAGTATATACAATAAACTTGATAACTGTTTATTTAATTATTATAAATAAATAAACAATTAATTATATATACAAAAAATCTTCAATTTGCCTATCCTTAGTGATACACTAATTATCAAACTCTAATTCCTGATGAAAAAAAATACATATAAGTAAGATTCAAATATTCTATAAAGTACAAAACTTTCAATGAATAATCATCATACTCACGCTAAAAACCAATTCTCGATGAAAAAAATACATATATAAGATTCAGATATTCTATAAGGTTCAGACTAGACTTGTTGGTGAAACTAAATCATATTGGTGAAACTGGTGACTATCTAAAATCTGATTGGCTATTGTATTCACCAGCCAATCAGATTTTAGATAGTCATCAGTTTCACCAAGTTTCACTAATTTCACCAACCACTCTAGTTTAGACCTTTCAATGAATAATCATCATACTTATGCTAAAAACTAAATCCTGATGGAAAAAAAAAATACATATATAAGTAAGATTCAGATATTTTATAAGTTTCAAAACTTTTAAGAGGTGTGGCGACTTAGTGTAGTGGTCTAGTTGTCACCCTTTTCAAGTGGCAGGTCTAGAGTTCAAATCCCACGGACGACAAATTTTGAAAAATAGTCTGTGTTACAGTTTATGGTTGTCGATTATCGGTTGGATTTAGAAATCTGTAATCTCGGTCATACCATCTAGTTATGAGAGCTTTGGC